GAAAAAATGCACTATTATGCTCGCCAAGTCCGTCCGTCCGTCTGTCCGTCTGTCTGTCCGTCCGTGACTTCACGTTTTCGTCGACGAGAAAGTGCGCTCTCTGTCACTCACTTCAGTAAGTACTGAGTTATATTTTTTATAATTGTGAACTTGCAGAATCCGGACGCGTCTTATGCGTCCAGTTTTTTAACTATATAACATCACATTAGAGCGAATCGACATTATCGCCGTTGAAAATTACTGTCTTGCTTTCCAGTAGCCAGCAGACAGCCATATAGTAGCCGATAGTCGGCCATTCCGGGTGCTAAAAAATATTTTCATTAAGGATAAAGCTGTTGGATATATGATGGAGGAGCTTTTTGTATATGTATGGAGATGTGTATAAGAGACAGCTACCACCGTCCGTGACTTCACGTTTTCGTCGACGAGAAAATGCGCTCTCTGTCACTCACTGCAGTGAGTACTGAGTTATATTTTTTCTCTTTTTAAATTCTATAATATTAAAATCCAAACTAATCAAACATCTATTTTTTAATTCTTTAACTTTAAAATGTAAACTAATCAAAGTTCTATTTTGTTTTTAAATTCTATAACTTTAAATTCATACTAATCAAACAAATCAAACAAAACAATTCAAATCAAACTAATCAAACCGCGCAAATTCTATAACTTTAAATTCATACTAATCAAACTTCTATTACTATCTGTCAAGTCAAGACGAAGAGCAATATGGAAGCAATCCTTGTTTTGCAGTTGCGGCTAGCGGCCCTGCGAAAAGTAATAAATAAATCAATCCATGTTTGCAGTTGCGACTAGCTGCCCTGCGAAAAATATAAAAAATAAATCAATCCTTGTTTGCAGTTGCGACTAACGGCCCTGCAAAAATATAATAAAATATAAATCAATCCTTGTTTTGCAGTTGCGACTAGCTGCTCGGCGAAAAATATAATAAAATAAATCAATCCTTGTTTTGCAGTTGCGACTAGCGGCCCTAAACACTCCGTACACCGGATTGTTGGGTAAGATTTGGGGTAAATGGTTGGGGGTAACCTATGATTTAAGCTGTTTATGGAAAGTGTGACGGTAGGCCTATTATGCTATCTACTAATGGCATTTCAAATGATATTTCATTTCTATTTCTTGGGACTTTATGCAAGGTTGTATAGTGTATTTTAGTGGGTCTATATCACCGGACTGTGGTAGGTCTTCTATATTCAGAAGTAGCCGTATATTTAGTAGGCCTATATATCTAAAAAGGATGAACTTCAGGCCTATAACACCGACGTATACGATGATTGAGCCTTCACTGCATGTGCCAGTCTATGATCTGAACATAAACTTGACCTGTCCTGTGCTTAAACTTGAAACTAGACTTAAACTTGACGATGAAACTTAAACTTAATCCATGCTTAAACTTGTAGTTAAATTCAGTGGACATTCAGTGGTCGCGCTTGTCAGTTGCTCTGTGCATAGCAATATTCATTGTTGCCTCTATTGAGCTTATTTGTTGTTCATGTTCTTATTTATTCTATTATTGTTAGTTTCGCTCTAATTCCTTCTTCTTGTCTTTCTGTGCTTATCTGTTCGCTCACACATCCTGTCATTGCTGTTACTGGCTGTTATCTGTTCTTATTGCTTCTGTCAGCGCATCATCTGATTGTCAACAAAAACAGCTATACTGCTTTTGCTGTCTGTTATCTTTTTTTCTGGCCGATTTATGCTCATCTGTTATTGCTACTAGCTGAAACCATAATTTCTTTTAAGTCATAATTTATTTTGAGTCATAATTTCCTCTGAGCCACAAATTCTTTAAGCCACAATTTTTTGAAGCCAAAATTGATGTCACAATTTCGTTTGAGCCGCAATTTCTTAGAAGCCACAGTTTCTTCTAAGCCATAATTTTTTCTTACCTAAATTTCAAGCGGAACTCCGTCTCGGATGCCGTATAACTGGAAACCGTCTCTGGATATTTAGGCTTAACTGGGCAAACACGTCATATTATTAAGGATTGCTAACATTCGTAATTAATTTTATTAAATCGTTAATTGAAAATTTGTTCAAAAGCAAAAAATGCTGGCAGTAATTAATAAAAATCGAGATAAGTAAATAGTCGTTTTTAATATCTTGAGCAGAAACGTTTTCGACGAATTTATTCTGCGTGATCTATGTTTAAATTTTTTTAATAGAAAGGATCTTTTATTAATCCCAACGTTGAATTTTATTCAAGAATTTTGAAGCGTTTTTAGAATAATGGGCACTGTCAGTTTATTATAATGTTTATAAAATTGTTCATTATTTTCATGAATAATTTTTTAAAGTTCTCTTCTTATATTATATGATAGTCAAACGATTTAAATAAATAATATTAATGAAAACAATTAATAGTTTTAACAATTTTCTTTGTGAAATATTCAAAATATTCTGACATTTGTGGGTCCAGGAGGAGGCGGAGCTGGTGCCCGTGGCCCCGTGGGCCCTCAAGGGCCTCCCGGTCCCCAAGGCCCCACTGGGCCCCCGGGACCTCATGGACTGNGTTTATACTTAATATGATTTGTTAATAAAAAACGAGTAGCAGAGCAATGTTAAGAAGTATTTAATAGCACCGCTTCGGGTGACTAAATCACTAGGGTGACTAATCTAATAGTGTGAATAATGAACTAGGGTGACTAGGTGACTAGGATAACTAATGCTCTCAGGTAACTAAAGCAATGTGGCGACTAAAGAACCAGGGTAACTAAAGCATTAGTGTAACTATTGCACTAGACTAACTTATGCACTAGGGTGACTAATACTCGAGTTAACTAACCCCAACTAGGGTGACAGAGGCCAGAGGGGCAAGAGAGGCAAGCCTGGTCCCCCAGGACCCCCTGGACAGAAGGGGGAGCATGGCTTCCCTGGCTGGCCGGTGAGTGCTGGACATATACACTCGTAAATATGAAGGGCTTATATTGTCCATTATGACAATAAATTATGGTCTCTATGATGGGACTTGGTCTGCATCGCTGTAGTGGGACTTGGTCTGGGTCACTGTGGTAGGACTTGGTCTGGGTCGCTGTAGTGGGACTTGGTCTGGGTCGCTGTAGTGGGACTTGGTCTGGGTCGCTGTAGTGGGACTTGGTCTGGGTCACTGTGGTAGGACTTGGTCTGGGTCGCTGTAGTGGGACTTGGTCTGGGTCGCTGTAGTGGGACTTGGTCTGGGTCACTGTGGTAGGACTTGGTCTGGGTCGCTGTATTGGGACTTGGTCTGGGTCGCTGTATTGGTACTTGGTCTGGGTCACTGTGGTGGGACTTGGTCTGGGTCACCATTTTGGGACTTGGTAGAGCTTGATCTAGGCAGCTACACAATATTAAATACTTGGACCATTCATTTTGCATTAATAGGTCGTTGTCTCAGGCTAATTAATGCAAATCATGACCTCAATCAACTTATGATGGTCAAATGAGATAAATTTGTTATTATTATGTTCGTTTCCCCCGCTGCCTGGACAGAACGTTACCCATGAGGTGAGTTACAGATTTTTACACGACACATAAACGTTCTCGACATTGTCGAGTATAATTCTTGCTTTAACCTTGCCTTACAACTACCAATGCAGAATGACAACTTCTAGCTTTCAATACCAACTTGTTTTTTTTCCTGTAACTTATTTTAACTTGGATTCAACACGGCTAATATTCAACATGTAACTTCCAAAAAAGTTACTTTGTTCACTTCCTTTCATTCGTCATTATTATTTCCGCTAAATTATTTGATTAATTAATGGTTTCAAATTCATTTGTCACTGTAATCGTGAAAATTTTCCATCTTTGATATTCGGACCGCTTACATAACAGAGGGGGCATAATTTAAAAAAAAATCAACAGTTTACCTTAATTTAACAATGAACTTTCCTAATTGTTCTATGACGTGTTCAGCTGGCAAACTGCGTGGTAAGTACAGCTCATTTTCCCCCAGTACGACACCCAATTACCAAAAATTGCACTTATTTCCTTCAGTATGACCGCCTGAATGTCCCTAGATTACGCACTTTTGACATAAAACACAAGTCGTTTCCAAAACACACTGTCTTTCTCATCACCCGATATATACTGTGATGCCCAATTGCTAATGACACAAATCTATTTTCTGACATATGTGGAATTTCTTTAAATTGTCTATTCCCTCATCTAGACCTACTTTTTTTATACTATTCCGAACTCAGTTTTATTTCGTCTTTTATCTATTTTCCGAGCATTGCTTTATTTTTTCCTAACCGGAGCTCGCGGAACGTCCCGAGCCAAAAAAAAAGCCCTAGGAAGTTTTACCCTCGAAATTTTTTCCACTCTCTTGTCTGACTGGAAATTTTATGATTTAATTAAGTAGACATCACTTGAATGCGTAATATTTTTCTCTTTTATACTCTTAGCTTTCGTACCGGAGTCATTACCCTTTTAATCATAAAGGACTTGCATTATAATGTTTGATATTAGCATTCAAGACCATCGACTAGTACGAAAATCGGTTTGAAGTATTATATTATTTCGTATTAAATTGTGCAATTATCGTTGAGACAGCATAGTCTTCATCAAATCTGCTCTTGTGATAATTATTAAATAATGCTAAAAAAATTTAAGCATCTACTATTAAATTTATACATCAAGCGTTTAATCATCTTTTTGGAGAACAAATCGATAAACTTTATACAACCTTTAGCATTTTAATGTTTAATTATTTATAATTATTATTTATAAATTATATTAATTATTATAAATTTAAATTAATTATTCATCCACTGTGGATTCGATGTTAAATGCAGGGTCGACCTGGACCCATGGGGCCCGAGGGCCCACCTGGGCCTCCTGGGTACGGGTTGCCTGGGCTTCGTGGAGAACCTGGCCCCGCTGGGCCTCCTGGACCACCTGGGCNTACATTTCTTAAATTCTTTTAAATACTAATTATTAAATATATATCTATTATATCATTTTCAATATAAATCACTAATTAGTTTTATTTATACATTTCTTAAATTCTTTTAAATACTAATTATTAAATAGATATCTAGTTATATCATTTTAAATATAAATCACTTTATTACTTTTATTTCTAAATTTCCTTGAATCCTTTTAAATCTGTATCTCCTAAATCAAATTTAGTTTTCCAGAGGATTATTGATAACCAATAAAATATTTTCTAATAAAAATGAATTTGGTTCTATTTGCATAACATGTAAACTTTTCCAATAAAATATTGATGATGAATCAACATTCAAATTGAAGTTAAAGGAAATTTTATATCAATTTGCTTCTTTATATAACACTTCAGTTAGTGTTATATTATATTGTTATATTCTTTGTTATATTGCTATATTATTTGTTATATTGCTATATTATTTGTTATATTGTTGTATTCTTTATTATATTGTTATATTCTTTGTTATATTGTTATATTTTTTGTTATATTTTATATGCTTTGTTATATTTTGTTGTTTAATTGCAAATTTCTCTCCGTCCCGCCAGGGCCAACCTGGCCCACCGGGAGTGTCGGTGGAGGGGCCCCCTGGGCCCCCCGGTGTCCCTGGGGCCTCTTTCTCCAGCGGGGCCTCAGCATCTCCAGGTGAGGCTCAACAATAACTTTTGTTATTGTCATATTGTAATTGTAATATTGTAATATTATTCATTCAATTCATTCAGGCTCAATATTGTATATTGTAGAATATATTATAACTCTATACAATATATGTTATATTGTATAACACTTAATATTATATATTCAATAGTGTATACTATTTATATATTATTATTTATTATTTATTTTAGTTGAGTGGTTGTTTTACTTTATTTGATCTTCTTTCGTATTTCATGCCTTAATAATAATAACCTACTTTCTTAATATTTGTAAGTCATTTATGTTAGTTTACTTCTTATTGTTCATTTTCTTACTTAATCTTGCTAAATGACTAATTTTCTTTTTGTTCTTGATTGTAATAGCGTGTCGAGGGAAGAAATTTAAAACTAAATAATCAGAGTTTAAGCTTTAAAAACTTTTAGGTTTAAATTAGTAATGGGTTTTTTATTATTAATCAAAATTATAATGACCATAAGTCTATACTTCACTGCCAGTGACGGGTCTAAATGTCTATTTATTTATCAATTATTACCGTTAAATTTATTTTCTAAATTTATTGAATTTCTTTTTTCTTCAAGGCCCCCCTGGACCGCCTGGGCCACCTGGGCCCCCGGGAGGGTCAACCNTATGGGCGAGAAAGTGTGTCACTATTAGGCCATAAGATTACCCACTATGGGCGAGAAAGTGTGTCACTATTAGGCCATAGGATGACCCACTATGGGCGAGAAAGTGTGTCACTATTAGGCCATAAGATGACCCACTATGGGCGAGAAAGTTTGTCAGTATTAGGACATAAGATGACCCACTATGGACGACAAAGTGTGTCAGTAGGTACATAAGATGACCCACTTCTTCACACATCAGATGACCGCGGCGACGCCTGTAGGCGGTCTGGCTTTCCTGATGGACGAGGAGGCCGTCCTCGTCAGGGTGGTGGACGGCTGGCGCTTCGTGCAGGTCCGCTATACTAATATAATAAATAATATAGCAGACTGTTTATATAAATATACAGCAATAGTATATATAATAAAATGTCCCTTGGAACCTGATATTTGACTTTTCAGTTCATATCAAGAGCCTAATTCGCCGCATAGAGAAAAACAATAAGAAAATTGTCAATAAAAAATACTCTCTGGTCTTCAATGAAACCGGCATTAAAGAAAATCTTCTGCCAAACTACACCGATATATATATATATATTATAGTATATACTTCTGTATATACTCGAACAAAATGTATCTATATTGTGCCCAAAATACTGAGCTTGACTGTTTATTAAAAAATACATCTTTTATTTTATCTAATATTTATTTTTCTTAATTTTTCGTGGTTTTGATTCTTTGATAATTATTCTCAATCGTTGCCGTTATTAGTGATCAGCTTTCATACAGTGGGTGCAAAAAGTATCCGATACAAAGGAAAAAGTTTATTTAATTAAAGCTTATGCAAGAAAATAACGTAAAAAAGCTATTCTAATGTAAATTTACAAGTGAAATATAAATACTGCATCAAAAAACTATATTATTAAATGCTGACTTGGTGATTGCAATTTTGTAAAAGTTAACTTTCAAGATAATAAAGTTTTTTCTTTGTTGAGGATACTTTTTGCACCCACTGTATATATTACTATTTTATTAAATTCTTTTGTTATCCGTTTTTACATTAATTTTATTTTCTGTATGTCAGCATTTTTGAGCTCTAAGAAAGTTACAATTAACATCTGTTGACAGTCCCATTCCCATCGGGAGTGATTGCTTTTTAGCGCATTTTCTCATGGAAAAATGCACTATTGTGCTCGCCATGTCCGTCTGTCTGTCCGTC